AATATCCCAGCGACACACATTCAATGAAAACGCATTTTAACCAAAAAGCTTATTTTCGGTGACTCATCAACTGGTTAATACGTCACATTTTAGGTAACATCGTTTTGTATAGAAAAAAAGAAACAAAATTAATGATATATTCAAATAGGGATTGTTGTTGTTGTTTTCTGTCTCAGATTCACAAAAACCTTTTATGGTTGATCCTACCATCCAAACTTACGCTTGGTCCGTGTTACTTGAATGATTTGGGGTGAGACTGGCAGGAGGAGGAGGATGGATGGTGGACGGCCATGGTAGGTTGAGTGACTTCACAAATTGTTTTGGGGCGCCCAAAGGGGGATTATGTAGACGAATTCCAACCGCCTCTGCGGTGGCTAGGATGCGGTTTTTAATCGACTTTGATCTGCAACCCCGAACACGGTAGAGGCCGAAATGCTTCAGTCACACTCACTGTGTGATCGGACTCGACGAGGTATGAAGAGATGGCACTTGCAATAGTTTTAACCACACCAGTGTTCAGCCAGGCCGGCAGATGATTCCGAACTCGTGTAGATGGGAACCTGCTTGTGCGGCCCACATATACGATGCTCCACAGGAACACGTAAACAGGTACATACAAAATGAAACTGGAGAAACAGGAATCTTGTCTTTGAGTTACGAAGATAAGATCGGTTTGGACGTGAATACGACACGTAATTTTACCGCGCGAAAATTATTTTCCAACGCAGTCGTTAGTTTGCGGCTAAACAACTCCGCGATTGTATCCCCTTTGAATGGGAGAGAGATTTATACTGGCTTCTTCTCTGCGCTTAGAAGTCTTTCCCTCCGAGGGTTATTTCGTAAAACGTTATCCACAAAGCGTTCTGGATTACCATTTTGTAGGAAAATATCATGAATGAAGGACAGTTCTGCATTTGTGATGTCATCGGTGCATATATTCACCGCCCTGTTTACCAAACACTGGATAAGATTTCGTTTGAGTGGCAAAAAGCTTCTGAACTGGAAATACTGGTCGCTCAAAGTTGGTTCCCTATAAATCGATCTCTGAATAGAACCGTCTGTGCGACACTTAAACCAGAGGTCGAGAAAACCAATCCCACCATTGACCTATTTTTCCAATGTGAACTAGATGTCGGAATGAGCAGGATTAAATATTCTGAGAAAGTTAGACACCTTGATGTTAATATCCACAAAACATAAAAAATCGTCGACATCATCTGTACAGCTTGCATCACCTTATCGTGGACTTCAAAAAACATTTTCTAGCTCGGACCAGCTGGTAGAGCGTGCTTACAAAGCGTCGGCGGTGTCTATGCGTGGGTTCGAATCCCATCGAAGTTACTGAACTTTTCACATTCGACATAATCCTATATTTAACCAATAGTGGAGCACAATCTTGCTTCTCGATTCAGTTAGTTTAGATCGAAAAGGGTTTTGTGATTGATATGTGATTTGTTTCCTAAATTATTGTTTTCAGTTACATTACCGCTGCCTATCTGACGGTTACACTAATACGGCGATTTGATGCCATTTTATGGCTAGTCACAACACCGATTCGGTTTCTTTATCATTTTCGGCTGATACTACATAATAGGAATCGATGTTTTCCGGTATTATTTCACCTTTACTTCTGTATGCTTCTACCGATGCTAGTCGAGTTTGTGACAATGCTATTAGCTTACATAAAACATAAATTCTAATTGACCACGATACGGTTTTCACGATTATTCATAAACATTCAATATATATGCTAACTTGCAGATGAGTGTCAAGCCAGGTGAGGAAATCCCTGCACGATGTCTTGGAGAGACGGGTGCTCTGAGTTTCAAAAAACCCACTGAGCAGGACCTGAAAGACACTCAAGAGCTGGAGACTACATTGTCCCAATTGAATATATTTGAAACACCAGAAGAGATGTCCCAACGTCGCGAAGCACTGGTGCGTCTTCAGGAAATTTCAAACGCCTGGATTCGCAAAAAAGCTCGCGAGCAAAATCTTCCCCCGCACGTTGTAAATTCCACTACAGGGAAAATTTTCACTTTTGGTTCGTATCGTCTTGGTGTCAACTTTCGCGGAGCGGATATTGACTCGCTCCTTGTGGTCCCCCGATTTATTACTCGGGAGGAATTTTTCGATGAGTTTCAAGCAGTCCTTGCGGACGATCCCAATGTTGAAGATATACATGCTGTTGTGGATGCTTTTGTCCCCGTGTTGAAAATGAAGTTTATGGAAGTGGAGGTTAGTTTCCATCGCTTTGTCAAACCACTGATTGTCCAGATCGATCTGTTGTTTGCTCAGTTAGATCAAATGAGCATACCGGAAAATTTCAGCTTATGTGAGAATACAGAAACTATAATGCGCAACATGGATGAACGGGATGTACGGAGTATCAACGGCGTTCGCGTAACTGAAGATATACTGAATCTTGTATATAATAAAAACGCATTCAAAGTAGCTCTCAAGGTGAGCAGTTTCGTCCGTTCTGCGCGTTATATCTAGCGTTTGCATTGCATTGAAAGCACTAACTGATGCACACCAATGCAATTTTCTCATTAAATTCCAGGTGATTCGTATTTGGGCCAAGCGTCGCAACATTTATTCCAATGCGTTGGGATTTCTGGGTGGTGTCTCATGGGCCATTCTAGTTTCGCGAATCTGTCAACTCTACCCCTACGCGACTCCCTCTATGATAGTTTATCTGTTCTTCAAAATTTTCAGCCAGTGGCCGTGGCCAAAACCGGTGAGGTTACGCGAATCGGAGATTATTAGCAGTCTCTGTTTACCCGTTTGGGATCCACGGGTAAGTGATTCACCTTTCTTATTTCTGCTTTGTTGGCATTGTAAGATTGCATTATCCAGGAGGTTAGGTCTGATTGAATGGATGAGTAGGGTTATGAGGGAGGAGGTCCCTATCAATTGCTCATGAGGATAAGTTAGAAAAAAAAGCTGTTTTTGGTAGGTTTACGGTTTCTCTCCGTATTGTGATGTATTTCATCTGCCTGAGTCCAGACTGTGCCAAACAAATCAGAGATGCATGATTTTCTAATACAGCCAAGTTACCCAAACCAAAGTAAACAAATTTTTCTTTGAGCAATTCACAACGGGAGCCTTCAATTACCAAAGGTCACGGGGTGATGTATGAAAACCGCAATCCATCGAGAGCCGACATCCAGTTAATCGAGTCATACACCCTTTGAACGGGGTCAAAAGTTCAAAGTGCTCAAAACTTCGATGTACACTCAAGCCGGTAACGTCTGCCAAAAACAGGGTGATGATTTGTACGCCTCTTAGTTATCTTGGAATCAGTTTTACCGGACTCTTCTAGGGGGAACTACCAGTTGTTTACCACCTGGGATATACCCGCGGATGTTAGCTTTTCGTCTTCACGATTTGATGATGTTGACCATCCTTCAAACCTTAACCTCATCCCCTCGTTCCACCTAACCGCCCACACACATTGAGAGCATAATGCCCGAGTTTTGCTCATCAGTCGTATATATTTAATTCTGTACTCTTTCGCATGGAAGACTAACCAGCTCATTTCGGGGCTGATCAGGTTACTGAACTGAGTTTTTCATGTCTTCCTTGGCTCTCATCAGTCAATCCCCGGGCCAATAGCTCTTAACCCAGATAAGATGTATTCTTTGTTAACTTTACTCAAAAGCGTCGCCCGAATTCGACTCTTTTTTTCTGATTTGAACAAATGCATTCAAACGAAACCTGCTAGTCTCGATTTTCATTTACATTTAGCTCACAGTTACCTGTGAACAGTCATTTGCTTCCTAATACTCTATCCATTGTAATTATTTCGTCCCATCTAACTATCCAGTATATAAAGATGAACATAGCGATGGGGTTTGGATTAGTTAGTTAAACCCAATACCTTTTATCACTCTTGCCGAAATACTCGTATGAATTGAGTACATCTGCATGTCCTTTTAGTCCCAAATACCGTGACACTTTGCTTCAACTGTTATCACTGCTATCACTTTTCCGTGCACTTTTGATTTCTTTGTGTAACTAAGCAAAAAATGCCATTTAACTGCATCGTTGCGGTATACTCAAATCGTATGCATATTGTACCAATCAGCTTTGTCGGCGCGCATACAAAAGGGTCGGTTGGCAGTTACCAACTTAAGACATCTGTGGCGCCATCGCGACATACGACTGTCTGTGAAGAGTCGAGTATATGCTGCAGCAGTTTGGCCAGTCCTGCTCTACAGTGCAGAGACTTGGTCAATACGGGAAGAGGATAAAAATAAATTATCGGTGTTCGAACACCGCTGTCTACTTCGCATTGCACCAGTCTGGTGGGGTCACCGGACTAGTCATGCTGAGGTTAGGCGTACAGTTTTAGGTAATCGCGAACGTCCACTAGAGCAGGTAGTCAATCTCCAGAGATTACGCTGGTTGGGGCATGTGCTACGCATGTCACCAGATAGTTTGCCGCGGTGAGCGATGTTTGCCGGTTGGAAAACGGTCAAGGGTGTTCAAACCAAGACCTGACATGAAGGCCTGAAAACCCTAACCAGGTCACATAGCTTCCGTTTGGCTCCCTGGATGGGGACCCCGAGATCAAGGTCATCGATGGTTAGAGACAATGAGCGATATGGCTGGATATCGCAAAAAGTGGCACTCATGCATCTACTTATTATTCTCTTAGCGCTAGTCTATATGAATTCGCTATCTTCTGCTTCAATTGGCTTTCAACATTCCAGTATTCATCCTTCTCTTTTATCCGAATGGGTGGCCAAAAGACAGCAACCAAAACCAGAGCACACAAAGGCATGGTTAATGGTTGTAGAAACTGACCTGAAACTGAATGGCTGCCATTCGTCTATCCTGTTACTCAAGGGCATGTTTACGCCCCCAATTCAACAGAAGAACACACTAGAATAAGATAAAAATTTCGCTTTTAAACGACCTATGCAATGGCAATGGTTTCACTCTCGGTCTGGATTTCCTCAGTCAACATGAGAATACAATTATTCTCTTCAATGACAATGGTCCACTTTTCTCTATGTGTACCTTCAGTGTAGCAAAAGTGAACATTCACCTTTGGCTTAAACATTTAACCACTAATTGTGCACTTAGTTTCTGATTGCAATTTTTTGAAATCCGAAGTCAAAGAATGATTATTAAACAACATCATGGAACCTTCTAATTCTCCATGGCGGACACAGGTTACCTCAACGACCAACTAGAGATATAAGAAACGGACTACAACCAAATGATAAATCGTCTCACTTATCTTGATGCTTATCCTATGTAACAACTAGCGGGAAAGATGGCCTAATATTCCGTTAGGTACACTTGACACGCAAAGCGCCTACCATCAAATTCTCATTCGAAAAGAGAAGCCAAAAACAGTTTTGTCGTATTCCGTTCGGTTACAAACTGAGTTGCCTGCTTCGAACGTACGATAGGTAATAGTATAAGGAATATCTACGAGGTACATTCGCGTACGTGGACATCAGTGTGCGGCCACGACCCGGAAGAACATGACCTAAATCTCCGCAACTTCATGAACGCCGTCAGGAAACACCGTATAACTTTCAATGAACACAACAGTGTACCCGGAGCTAACAAAATCCTTCTCGTTGGCCGTGAAGTTTACAAATGTTTAATCAAGCCATCAACCCCGAAAGATTCTGGACCTTGAGAGAACAATTTCCCCGAAGGATATAGCCTCGCACAGATGAATGGTGGGTACTCGGAAGTACCAAACCGAATGGATTCCAAAATCACCAGACAAAACTGGATCATTGTATAACCATACTCTTCCAACTCTGGACATTCTTTCGAATAGATGGAGAAATAATTGGAAGAGGCCGCTATTTTACCATCACTAATCGTTGAGACCGATGCATCCGACATCGCAATAGTGGTAACACCCAATCAAGACGGGAGTCTGATGGCTTTCTTCACACGTACCTTTGCCCCGAGTGAGCGCCACCACTCAGTGATCGAAAAAGAAGCGTGCACAATCGTAGAGGCTCTAACAAAGTGAAAATAAATGTTGTTCGGACCAGCGTTTAGTTGCCTTTATGTGCAACAAGCAGTAAGAAGAAATGAAAAACGATGAAAACTGAACGATGAAAAATGGAGCTGCCGTGTTTTTGTAATGAACGCTCGCACAATCAATCGATCAAGGCAGGGCAGAAGACCACGAGTCCAGAATTCAAGCTTTATCCAGCAAAAAACTCGATAAGGGGCTGTGACAAGTTCAGTGATGTCACAGTAACTTGAAACAATGTAGTCCCGTTATCACACGTGTGGCATTTCATCCCTTCTACAAACCTGCCTTTGTCTATAATGGCTGTTGAGAATATTGTAAATGAGTGTGAAGCATGAATACAGCTTCACCCCCGCTTTTCAAAGTCACTTCTGGCACCTTGGTTAAAACAACCATGCCGTTTGGAAGAATCAACATTAATTTTAAATGACCACTTTTCTCCATTTCCCGCAAAAGGCATCTTTAGATTGATGAACACTCTTGCGTCACCATCATCATCACCATTGTACAGCATAACACAGTGAAGCGAACTTCACTGATTGCTGCCACACTCATATTGCATACTAGGTAAGTGAGAATCTGTGAGGACAAGGATTGGACTTAATTTCAGGGATCGGAAAAGAAAGCGAACCTCCATGGTCAACACAGAGTACACAATCCAATTGTGCCCGAAAGTGCATGGTTAATGGTTGTAAGAACTGAACTGAACTATTTCAGGCATTCTGGTCCGATAAGAAATGACCGCAAGATCGCCATCCCTGTCGGTTCGCAGCCATCACCTTCAGTGTCTCCAACCATGCGGTTAGGGTCTTGGGTACCGCGGTCGCCCACTGGAGCAAGTGGTCGACCTCCATAGATTACGTTGGCTGGGACATGTACTACGCATGTCTGGAGCAAGTGGTCGATCTCCATAGATTACGTTGGCTGGGACATGTGTTACGCATGTCAGCAGGTAGGTTACCACGGCGAGCGATGTTCGCCGAAGCAGAAAAAAGTGAAAAAGCCAAGGGTGGTCAAGCTAAGACCTGGCACGAGGGTATGAAAACCCTAACCAGGAGGCTAGGTCACATACGCCCTGTTAGGCTCCCTGGCTGGGGACCTCGGGATGATCGTAATCGATGGTTAGAGACACTGAGCATGGGGACCTCGGGATGATCGTAACCGATGGTCAGAGGCACTGAGCGATATGGCTGGGTGTAGTAAACAGTGGCGTTCGTGCATCTCCTCAATTTCTTTGCAACCTTAGGCCACTGAACTTCTCCATTTTCTTTTCGACTTCACTTTCCATTTTCCTTTCTTCTATTATTCATCCAAATGGGCAGCCAAAAGACAGCAACCAAAACCGGCGCACGAATATGCGTGGTTAATGGTTGTACAAACTGAAACTGAAACCATGCGGTTACCCCAACCCGGAAAACGGGAGACACCTACTCTACTTAATCGCTCTGTGCATTTATTCATGCCTCGTCTCCACGTCAACTACTGACCTCCACGTGGCTTTCTTCAGCCTGCAACAGCCACTGCGAATAAAGCGCGCTGTGGTAGGGGACCGTCGGACATATGCAAAACGTGTCCTATTGAGCTGGATTCGATGCGCCAGCGAGTTCTTGTTCGATGCATTCCCGAACACCGGACGATTTACTTCGAAGTTACTGAGCCTCACTCCATCCCACTTGAGCCAGACTACTTAAGCATCGATTGTCGAAAACCACTAGGCGACGGATATCCCCTACCCGCAGATTTAAGGTCGCATAACCGTAAAGCAGAACTGGTCGTACAGTGGAGCAGTATACGCGACTTTTTAACTTCAATGAAACGTCGCCGCCACAGGTGTCCTGCATACGCTGCTCGAGCCTTGGAAATGCGAGCAGTTATTTCCTTAGATGTGCTACCGTCGTTGGTCAAGCAGCTAACCAAATACGGGAAGCAGTCAAATTCAGCTAATTTCTGGCGGTCTAGTTTTAGAGCAGACCTCCGTAACACCCAGTCTTGTAGCATCACTTTGCACTTTGAAGGTGCAAACGACATACCGA